GAAAAGGGTTTTAAATTTGTTAAGCTTTAAATTTTTATTTTGTTAAAACAGATAAATGGGTAATTTGTGTATTGAGTTAATTCCAACAATAGTCCTCTGACTACTATGATTTTCCAAATTTAGTCCTTGTCTTTTAATTTGGACGAAATAAACCCTTGACTATCAGAATTGTTCCACCATTGGTCCTTCTGTTAACCAAGTGTTAAATAGGTGTTAAGTTAATGGGTGAAACTAGCTCTCTTGGAGTAAAAGGGTCCTTTCCATAGCTAGCTCTCTTCTTCTCCCAGGGGTAAAAGACGGCGGCAGAATAGATGCAATGAGGGACTTAATCCAAAGAAATTTTGGGTTGACTGAGATCTGATCTGATTTGGCATGGGAGAAGATATGAACTTGCAGTTGAAAGTTGAAACACAAGTAAGAGCAACAAAAGAAGGAAAGTGTCTTCACCAAAAATATACGCTCCTCCTTCTCTCTAATTCCTTCACCACTTTTTCGGCTTTGTCCGGCGGACGCCGCCTCCGCTTGCTCCTCTTAGCGGAGGCGGCGTCTGCTTCTCGCCTCTCCCACCGCCTTCCACCACCTCTTTCTCCTCCTCCCTTCCCCCCCCCCCCCCCTCTCCATCTCCACCCTCCGGCCTCTACCTTGCTTCCGCACCTCTTGCCACAATAATCGCAAAGTCCAGATCTAAGCAAGAAGCCCCTCACCATTGTCAAAGCTCACTTCTTCAGAAAGAAGCCTTTTGCTGCCAAACCGCCAGATCTGGCCATAAGAAAGAAGCATATTCCATCACCTTTTTCAAGGTTATTTTCCCATAAAAAGGAAAGGGGAAAATCATAGAGGCTTTGGGTTTGGTAAATGTGAAAGTGGTTTGTACAGCTTTGGGTTTGGTTTAAGAGGAGTCAGTAGCTTAGTTTTGTGGTTTTGTTCTTCGGGTTGTTTTTCTGTTAATTTACAGTTTTTGTGCCTTTTATCTCGTTTCTTTGACGAGTTTTCTCTTTCTCATTTTTATGATGAGTTTTCTCTATCTCGTTTATATGACGAGCTTTTGTATGAAGCTTGAAATGCTAAAAATGGTCATGGCTTTTGTTAACTTCATCCTGGGCAATTTAGAAGACAATGGAAAAGTGCCTCTTCTGAACTCTGATATGAAATTCAATTCAGTTGATAGGCTACCCTCTGAGAAATCTCTTAATCCACTGATGTAAGATCGTGGGTTCTCAAGACGGTAATATTGTCGATGCACCAAAAGATGGAGATGAATACCCAGGTGATGTGCAGAACTTCTGAGATAATCTTGTATATAGTCGGCCAGATCATTGAGGTAGTATTTAAAGAAGCTTTAAGGCCCTTCAAGGAGTTTAGCTTCCAATTTGTAATACAGTTTGCGATTCAAATTTTCTGCATTGTTAGAAAAATTGTTTCTATGCCTGACTATAAGAAATGGCTTACCATTTCACTGATCTTTGATGTAATCCCTTCATGTTATGACTTAATGAATTAAGTACTTTATTTCAAAAAAAAAAAAAAAAAGTAAGAGCAAGTAATTTAATGAAAACCAATGATGAGCTAGCTGATCACTTTGGCATATATAAACAAACAAACAGGTAGATCAGAGATGACACCAACGAAGTGCATATGAGATGAAATTAAGGAAAGAATAATGTTCTGTCAAAAAAGAAAGAAAAAATAATGTTGAAATTTCCTAAATGCATGCATGCATTTATTATCTGTCTTATGCTTTAAACAATGCAGAAAATCTGTCTGATATGAATTCACACACACTTAATGCATATTATATAAAGACACTTTCATAGCTTCTGTAGCTGGAGGAGTAGCCATCTATAAACTAGAGAGCGAGGGAATTGATGGTTATCACCTTCATAGCTGCTGTAGCTCTCTTCTTCTCCTTCCAGGGGTAAAAGACGGCGACAGAACAGAGGGCAATGAGAAATCTCAACGGTGTCATTGGTCCTGGCCGGCCTGCTTTGCTTTATTATTTTGAAATCGCCGCCGCATAAGGCAGAAGAGAGACGACGCCAAGACACTAGTGCCGCCGGAATTTTTCAATAGCCAGAACAGAGGCTTCTTCCCCTTCTCCACTGCAGCGCCGATGAAGAAGAAGCATTAGCAGCAGGATCAGGATGCAACAATGGAAGTCAGCGAACAGCATCCTGAGGCGAGTGATACCCTTCCATCTCTGCGTCCCAAGGAGACCGCCCATGTCGTCCATTCATGAAAATGCATTCTGAACAAGGGATCTACAAGGCTTGGTGCGCCTGATATGAAACTAGTCGTCGTGCGTTTAACAATGTCCTCCATTTTCGGGCATTGTTTATTGTAGAAGTTCGGAATCAGGTTTTGTGCACTGCCAACTTCAAACACGAAAAGGAAGAAGACCAAATGAAGAAGAAAAACTGAGAGAGTTCTGGGATTAACCATTTTATGAATCATTCAGAAGGGTATGATTGGAATGGGTTTTGCTTTGTTTGGTGCAGGTTGGAAGTGGTGGGGAAGATGGCAGGTTGGCAGGTACTAGTCCTTTAAATAGGAGCGGAAGCCATGCAAGAATCCTTTGAATTATTAATCATCATAGACCTGGAGCAATCATCCTATATGAAACAAACTAGAAGAGAAAGAAACTCAGTGAAGACGCCACATAAACCTAAGCTAAATGTGCAAGAAGAGAAACAATGGAGTTTTGGGCTGTCCATTGCGTGTAATGTATACATATATTCTACCCAAATCATGAAGAAGAAACACAGCAGAGAAAATGACCATTTTAGCCCTTCACTAACGGTCATCTAACTCTTAGTTAACGGAAGGACCAATGGTGGAACAATTCTGATAGTCAAGGGTTTATTTCGTCCAAATTAAAAGACGAGGACTAAATTTGGAAAATTACAATAGTCAGAGGACTATTACTGGAATTAAGTCTTTGTGTATTATACATGTTCAACTTGTATTTTATATAAGTTATATGGGCCGGACAAAAAATAAGACGGACAAAAATTTTGTATGCCCAACATGTCCAAAATATGGGTTAAACCAGCCCAACCTATTGTGTTGGGCTTTTATTGACATTCTACCGTCTAGCATTTCTTTTTTGCTCTTGAATTTTTGGCAAATTATTTGGTCCACATGGACCATAACAAAAAATACATTTTTAATATACTAAATATATATTATTTTTGTGTATATTGTATAATGTACACTCAGTATAAAATTAATATACATTATTTTTGTACTAAATGTATATTATTTTACAGTATACAAAATATGGTGCACACAACTTGTGTGGACCATGGTCCACACAATAATGATTGTGAATTTTCCTCTCCAATCATTTTTATTCTGATGTGACTTTCTTTCATTTTCTTTTTTTTGGTGAATTTGACCTGTGCCAAGACAGGGAGAATTTGACTGTGACTTTCTTTCATTTTTTTCATAAACTGGTTGACTCACCACTAGTTAAAAATGAAATTTAGTTGTCTAATTAAATAATGCCACAAAATTGAAAATGAAAGATGAAATAATATAAGTGATGTATAGCATTACTCATTCGCAAATTATGCATCAATCAAACAATAGAATTCAATAACTTGAAAGAAATTGGAGGTGAATTGAAAGTTCAAGATTTAACATTTTGTTGGCTGACGAGAGAGAAATAAAAAGGGATTTGCATTGCTAAATGAATTAGAACTTGAACACATAACGTTTGGGGTACTAAATGTGAAAATTGGCCTAATAGTCAGAGAGATAATATTGTGCATCCTTGGTATATCATTAACCAAGCTTAAATATCTAATTTAATTTATTTATTTTTGTTAAAACATCATATTAGTTTGTGTTAAAACATCTTAATTGGCTATTCTTTATTTGAAATTAGTGACATATTTAAACTTGATTGAATACTAAATGAGAAAATACTATATGTACTCATATTATCTACTCCACACATTTACAGGGGCTCACATAAAGAAAATTACATATCAGCGACCGTCACATCAGGGAGCATAATTTGGGAGTATATATAGTAGGACTCTACTAAATGATGCAATATCTTATCTTAGTGATATAAAATATAGTTTAAAAAAAAAACTAAATATGAAAGAGATAAGGATCAGATAGACTATCCAATTATATATCAAAGTGTAATTAAATCTCTAAACTAAAAAAAAAATTCTCTAATTATACCTTCAAACTTGTTAAAATTACAATTAACCTATTTAACTATGTCATGTAGATTAATAGTTTTTATAAAAATAAAAATAATTATATTAATTTAAAAAAAAAAAAAAAGAATGAGAACAATCTACCATGGACAAAGAAGCCGACGACTTCTCCGTAGCAAAAAGTTTTTTTTTTTTTAAAAAAGTTAATTATTATTTTTAATTTATGAATAAGATTTCATGTAATATACCATGCAAGCAAAATAGACGATTACCTTATAACCTATTGAATATGGTAATTACACAATTTTAACAAGTTAATTATCAAATTAGAATTATTTTTAATTTGAGAGTCTAATTGCACTTTGGCATATAATTAGAAAGCCTACTTACTTACCCTATATTATGTATTATTAACCTATAAATTATGGAATATCTATTTATTAATTAGTAACCTATGTACTTATAACGTCTCCCAAAAGGTTGAATCTCCAATCTCAAGGGCCCCCCAAACCTTGCCCAACGGAGCATTTGGAAAGATGTAAATCACGGTGCTCAATGACTCAACAGATAGGGCCAATTACCGGCGCGCACAAGGGTTCTGTCTATTTTGAACATAATCCTCACACTACTGCTGCCAAGGTTCGAACATTGATCTCTCCTTCCAAATACTGCATAGGCATTGAGCTAAACCCGTGCAGGTTATGTACTTATATAACTTAATAGATGGAGTGGTATATGAGTAAATGAGCAAGAAGCAAGAAGAGGCAGCATGATCTGAAAAGGTTAATAATTTGCGCCAATCTATCTATGTTATGCTATGCACCAAAGTAAATAAGAGTAATGTAAAGAAGATTGACGATAGAAGTTGTGTTGTTTCTCACCCACATAAAACCCCAAAAACGGAAAGAATGTACATCTGACCTTTTGATCCTCTGGGCGCCCCAAAACTCCAACCTAAACCCCTCATACAACGCTGTCAAAAGCCACTTGGAATTGGACACTCTGCATTGGCTTTGGACTTGATACATTGGCAAGCCCTCGCAGCATCCTCACCACGTCAGCTGTGTCGTCGAGGTAATACCTGGCTCTGCTTGGTTTTTGTCCCACCGTGCAAGCAAAGATTTCGGGAGCAAGTTTGAGCGACAGACTGGAAACACAGTTCACTATGCTCTCGAACATGTCCTCGTCTGATCTATCGTCTCCCACGCACATCACAAAATCTGGTGGCTTCCCACTCTTCACCATTGCTGATAGAACCTTCTCCGCAACTAACCCTTTGGTCACTCCCTGCATGTCCCCCAGTCGGTCATAACAAGTTTTAAAGCCATGCACATTGTTGAGCATATATATATATATATATATATATATATATATATATATATATATATACACACACACACACACACACACACTACAGCATTAATGCACACAATCTACCCCGTAGTTCGCAAGTTCTCACTTAAGGGGTGGTTCTCATTTGAACACAAACCTATATGTATGTGTGTGTGTGTATGTCTAATCTCAATATCAGCTTAAGCTTGCATTTTAAGTAAGGTGGAGCAATCTTTCAATTTAGTATTAGATCCAGACAAAAGGTCGTGACTATCAATTTTAACTTTTACACTTCCTTCAATTCACCACAATACAGAAAAATGAAGAGATGTGGGCAGGGGAAGGGGGGAGAAAAATCCTTACTTGTGGTTTGACTTCGACGATATGCTGGCCTCTCTTAACGACAGCAGGTTCATTTGCAAGAACATTTTCCAAATGATCAAGCATTTCCTTCGCCTGGCAAGAGCCGAAGTCGGGGTCTGCATCCTGGTGGTGCCAAACCAAGGCGGTCTCTTTAGTTTCGATAAAAGAGCCGTCAGTTGCATCGGTATATTGTTTCATTACAGGCTCAACAATTCCTTTCCATTGAATATCAGCATCCATGCATTCCCAGTTGGATGCTTTACTCCACCTATGGCAAGAAAGAACCAGGGATCTAGTTTACACGGGTGTAGATAAGGAAAGGAAGCTGAATATAGCAATATAGCAATATAGATTAGAATTTACACGAATATCCAAACCATGGTGTACATATACAAATTCTTTAATTCATACCTTATAAAGTAACCATGTTCAGCAGCTAGTCCAACCCTCTCACATGGTGCTAGCCATTCATTCAATTGATTTCTTCCTCTGCCGCTAACAATGAACACCGTGTTCTTGGGATCATTGGACAGAGCATTCAGGAATGTTATAACTTCTACACTAGGAGATTTAACAATAGTTGATTCCGGTACGATAGTACCATCATAGTCCAAGAATATCACCCTCCTGTTTGTCCTTCTGTATGATGAAACTATGTGTTCGATTGACAACTTTCTAAAACTTGGAGAAAGTGAAATGACTTTGAAACCAAGGCCCAAGCCAATACCCCAGCAACGCTTATTATAATGATCCTGAGTGGCCCTTTCCAGGTCCTGCACAAAGCTGCGGGCCCAATATGCAACGTCATGTGAGCTAACATACCGGTAGTGTTTTTCGTGACGCAGTCGCTTCTCAGAATCAGTCATGGTGATGGCAACATCAAGTGCCTCTGCCACAGCTTCTATATCCCATGGGTTCACCCTAATTGCTCCACTCAAAGATGGTGAACAGCCAATAAACTCTGACACAACAAGCATGCTAGTCCGAGGAGAATCAGTTTCAATTCCCATGGCCTCATCCATACCAGGTGAGCCCTGCCTGCAGACAATATACTTGTAAGGTACCAAGTTCATCCCATCCCTCACTGCATTAACTATGCAACATTCAGCAACAGCATAATAGGCAGCCTTCTCATAGTGAGCAACAGGTCGATCAATCAAGATTACAGGCTCATAGCCAGGGGAACCATAACGTTGATTGACTCTTCTAACAGTTAAATATGTCTCCCTCTTTGCTTCCTGAACATCTTTCCCAGAGCCCCGAGCAGGATTCACAATTTGGACAAGAACAATCTTACCTTGCAGCTCTGGACGTTGTTGCAATAGTAGTTCAAATGATAGCATTTTCAGACTGATACCTTTAAATATGTCCATATCATCAACACCAAGAATGACTATTTTCCCTTTAAACTGCTCTTGAACTTCTTTGACCTTGTCAAATGTGGAGGAAAGATTTAACATAGACACCAGTCTGCCCATATGTACACCTACAGGCATAATTTTTACATAGACAGTGCGACCAAAGTAATCAAGTCCAATGTGTCCTCGTCTGGATTCATAGTCCAGGCCTAACATTCTACTGCAGCAAGACAGAAAATGGCGGGCATAATCAAAAGTATGAAAACCGATTAGATCACAGTTAAGCAATCCTTTTAGAATTTCATCCCTAACTGGCAAAGTTCGGTATATTTCTGATGAAGGAAATGGGCTGTGTAGAAAGAACCCTAGCTTGACACGATGGTAACGCTTCCGCAGAAATGTTGGGAGAACCATAAGGTGATAATCATGAACCCAGATATAATCATCCTCGGGGTTAACTACTTCCATAACTTTATCAGCAAACAATTTGTTGGCAGATACATACGCCTGCCAAAGATGACGATCAAATCGATCTGCATGGTCTGGGCACATGGGTAGCATGTAATGGAAAAGAGGCCACAGTTGTTGCTTACAGAAACCATAATAGAAGTTTTTATGGATGTCAGGGGGTATAAAAGTTGGTACACACTTGAACTCATCCAGTAGTCTCTGTGCCACTTCCTCTTGTTCACTAGCATCTATGTCAACCTTGAGGGAACCAACATATATGACCTCAGATTCAGGAGAAAACCCATCCTTTAATTGCAAGAGAAGTGAATCTTCATCTAAACTAAAACACCATTTTGAAGTTCCTTCATCCCTTTGTGCATGCAAAGGCAGCATATTTGCCACTATGATTTTTCGTTCTTGACAAGTGGATGACATACTGTCTGAGTCACCATCAGAGATGATTCCTGGAACAGTCATCAGTCGAGGAAGAGATCTAGGAGTTTGAGGGACATCGAGTATTTCTTCAGAGGCCAGGTCCAAGACATTTGAAGAAGATCTAGACGCCATAACTGGTAACTGAATTTGTAACTTAATCAATAAAGAACTGACCGATCATAGAAAACAGTGTTCAAATTGTTGGTTCGATCAGTCATGAAATTAATAACCTCCAGCCTCTCCAGCCTACAAGATGCAAAATGCATTAATGCAATTTTACCAATATTTCCCAACAAATTGGACAAACATAAAATAACATTGGCCTGAGATATCATCAAAACATCAAAATTTGTGAAAAATGTAAAAAAGAAACAAGTAAATGATACTACCAATAAAAATCAACATCAAGGATAAACAAATTAAAATTTTCAAAAGTTTCTAGCTTGGGAAGAGAAACATGCATTGTGATTTGATGTCAATAGGGAATTATATGCACATATTCAATTATATCTACAGCCCAAAGGACATTCTAAGAAAGCCCACATGATCAGGCCAGAATGAAGAGGCTAAGTGAGAATTGAGTTATTTGACATCAACCATTTTGATGATCACGATTATGAAGGTACGATTTCAACCATTTAGGTCAACTATCAGTTGGAAATTCCAAGAGAGCAAACATTGTGGGAGATAAGGTGACAGTTTTCCACTGAGTGTAAACTATAAATATATGGCAATCTAACATTAAAAAGAAATAGTTTGAAGTATTGAATCAATTTTAACTCAGAAACACAGTTGAATACCTACCAAATAGTCGAGCAATAAAAGTAATTGCATATATGTGTCAGTGGGTCTTCATATATTGCTTATTAAGCCAAAAGGAAGACAAGAGAAAGAGTCTTGATCCAATGCACCCTAAGGAAGATAAAATGTGCCACGGAATAGAGAGAAAAAATTCCAACAAAAGCAACAAGGTATAATGATGTGGCAGGTAAGGTTAATACAAAAAGAGATTTCAGATGAACCCTGAAGTTATTCTATCTCACAAAATAACAAGCCCCTGCCCCCTATATTCGCCTCAATTGAACATTTAGTTTATTCCCAACAATGTATAAAAAACTGCTACAAATAAGCAAAAGTGAAAAGCTATGCATTCTCAGAGACTCCCATCAAAACCTCAGGGATTTGGTTACAATGACTTTAAAATATGACCTCAGGGATTTGGTTGCATCAAAACCTGAATTTTCTGAAAATAAATTTATCCAGTTGCTAAACAGAAACAAGGACAATGACATGATCAATTTTTGGAGAAGTGGGTAAAAACACAAGTTGGAAGATATTGCTTTCTGGCTTAAGAAAGTGGGAATCTAGTGGAGTATTTTTTATTTTTATTTTTTCCTTTTCTTGAAGCAAAATATTATAAATAGCTAGGAATAGTTATGCATATTTATTTTCTATGAACTTCCAACAGATACGACAAAATCATAACTAGTCAGGCGTATTATGCAAAAATCCGATGATCACGACAAATTACTATGATTAACCAGCAAGTATGAAGCAGCTCTAAAGCACTTAGGTCCATTTTAACAAAATTATAATGCATGAAACAACTTGTGTCTTGTGACTAGCAGGTAAGGATGGTGCAGCAAGGCAAAGGGTGAAAATCTCGTGCACATAATACCTTTTCAACAAAAATCCAATTACATGATCAGATACATGATTACAAATATGGAGTAAATCTGAGTCATTTGAATTTTTTCTTTTTCTTTTCCCGAAAGGCAAAATAACCAAAAGCAACAAAGTATCACTAGCTATGAAGTAGTGCACATGACATCATACTGTAATGGTATAACCAACCAGGGAAGTGTGATGCAACTCATTAATTTCCTTTCCAGCAAAAAAATTAATCAACCATGGCCATATTCGTGATTGCCAGGCAAGAATGGCTCAAATAGCAGTAACTTTTTTCTTTTCGGGAAAACACCAAAAACTACAAAATAATGACTAGCTGTACAAGGATATGCAGGGTCTCCGGTCTCGTGCTATCCAGCAAAAATCTCAAACTACATAATATTTTTCATGTAAACACAAACAAAAATATCTTCTTCTTCTTTTTTTTTTTTTTTCAAATAAAAATTGTTTCAAATGAATGCCATTATCAGGAAAAAAAAAAAAAAAAAAGCACAGTGAAAACATTTAATACCAGTAAAGGAAAAACAGGTCTTCAGTTACTTTATTAACATGACATTTCATCCATGGTCAACCAAATTCATAACCTAATTTGAATACATTAATAATTTAAACACCAGTAGTACCACTCGAAAATTTCCTGATATTTTATCATTTCTCCTAAAACTTATTTACCCAAAATTTGATCATACCTCCTGAAATACACGAAAACTCTCCCAGAAGAATCAAAGAAAAATACCAACAAAAAGAGAGCAGTAAGCAAAAGACATCCGCCACTTTCCAAGTTAATTCACTACAACCATTACGCAAACTAACAGGCAGTAAAAAACTAGCTAAAAACGAGAGAAAAAAAAAAAAAAAAAAAAAAAAAAGCTCAGAAAGCTTTATAAGAAGAACCAAAGACGATCGAAGAGAAATGAAGAAAAGCTCTTCCATCTTTTTTAAGAAAAATTTGAAAAGTTAATTACAAACAAATCAAATTTCAAGCCACGCTATTCATCATACAAAAACAATCATAATTCAATCATCACATTCTGCAAAAAACAAAACGAACTAAAACCATTCCAATCTCAAGCTTCTAACAATTCAAATAATTTTCCTCTCCAGAACACAAGACGATAAACAGAAACAATGCAGAAACCGAACAAAAAAAAAAAGATAAAACAGAGAGATAGGAGGTTATACATGCAGGACTTCCCAGCGAGATTGCGGCGATCGGAAAACGCAAACAAACAAACCAAAAAAAAAAAAAAAAAACTAAAAAAAAACTGATGATTTCACTAGGCAATGACGTGTCTACGTAATCGAGCGAGTGAGGGAGAGATGTTTCAACGGAAGAAAATATGGAGAGAGAGAGAGAGAGAGAGAGGGGGGGAGAGAGAGAAATCAGTATATGCGAGAAGGGATGGGAGCACTGAGAAGGATATAGTTTCTCTAGAGAGAGAAAACAGCGATAGTGCAAAGCTAAATGACACTTTTATCCAGTAATGACCTGTTTGATGGGGTGTAGTTATAATTCAACTATAGTCTAATTCTAATTCTTTGTGGAGCAGTAAAAGACCTTTGAGCGATATAATTGTGACCGGTGTTACAAAAATCTCGTTTAGGCATCAAATAATTGACGCCTAGGCGATAGACGCTGATCGACTAGGTCGCTTAAGCGTCGCCTAAACACTGACCGCCTAGGTCTCTTAGGTGCCGACTAAGCCTTCAAAACACCGACTAAGTCGTCTAGTTGGCCGATTAACTATTGTTTCATTATTTTTTAAATGAGTTATTTTACCCAAGACGACATCGCTTTAAATGAAATAATCCTAAATTGGTCTCTGATATTTTTAAAGTTAATATTTAATATTTTAGTATTAACTATTAACGTATTAAATAATTTATAATTATTAAGTTTTAAAAAATTTAAAAATTTTAAACAAAATTTTTAAAAAATTAAAAATAAAATAAAAAATACACGGGTGCCTGAGCTAATTAATCGTTGCGTAGGCACCCTAGGCGCTAGGCGCCCCCGAGTGCTCGAGAAGCACTTAACAATTTTTTTCAACCATGACTGTGACTCTCTTAAATAGGAAGTTACAGGTCTGAACTCTAGTGTGGGACATTAACTCTTTGTGGAGCACAATTATATTGTTTAGTTGGAGGGAATCGCAATTTATTATTCCTATCTCCGTCTCATTTCATGTGTTTGATTCGGTTAACGTGATTTGACTGTAGTTATTTTTAATTAAAAAAAAAGAGTTTATTTGACCAATAAATAGTAAATAGGACAAATAAAATGGAACAGAGAGAATATTATCAAAAGCATTATAATATTTTCTTTTTCAATCCCCATAAATTCTATTCCTGTCTATCTAATTTGAATCCCTATTAATTTCACTTTATTCTTTACTCGAAGTTACAATTCATTTCTTCTCTTCAAACCAAACGCATAGCAAAGGTGCAAGCTTTGATCCGTGAAGTACGGCACCTCATTGCATTGAGAAGCGGGGTATAAAGGTAAATTGAGTGGTTCGCGGTGTCGTTTTTAACTGCAAGGGGAGAAACGGATAGAGTCGACCACACTTTACCGCAGTCGGTTTTATCCCGGTTTCGATTTTTTTATTACGTATATGCCCTTAAGGATAAACTTTTGTAATAATAATAATAATATTCCCACGATATTTCATTGCGGTTCAGATATTTTACCTCATTTGTTAAAATCTTATCCGTCTTAATAATAATTACTCACTACTCAAATCTCAAATAAGATACATTGCACAATTAAATAATATTTAATGATACAAATTATAATAATATTTATTAGATATTTCATTGCAGTTCAGATATTATTTTTTCATTTTATGGATATTATGGTCTATGATATAAATATAAAATGAATATCTTTGCTATTTTTTTAGATTTAATAATAAAATTTTTAAAAAAGTTTTTTTCCTAAGGTTTTATTTTCTTAAAAAAAAATTATATTAATACGCATGTCTAACGGGCTTAAACAGGTTAGCATGACATATCATGTCTTGTGAACACAAAATTTACAAAATGAATATGTTTATCGTGTCCACTTGTTTAACTCGTTTCAAAATCGTGCTCATGTTTAAAACTCTAATCCATTAACTTTAATGTGTCGTGTTCGTGTTCAGTCTTATCATATTTATATGTTGTTATCATATCAACTAATTAACGAACCTATTTATATGAATTGTAAAGTCTAGTGCAAACTCAAGCTCCGGCCTCCCGCTTGAACCTATTTCTTTGTGTTTCAACAGGTTGAGAAAGTATATATGAACAGATACTACATTGTAACAGAGTTAGTAGTACTTAAAAAAATAGTGTTATTTTTTAATAAAATGTCAAAAGAATTTCAAATAGATAAGATTGTTAGTAGTATTTAAAAAAATAGTGTTATTTTTTAATAAAATGTCAAAAGAATTTCAAATAGATAAGATTGTTTATTGAGAGAGATGTACAATGTTTTTTTTTTTTTTTTTTTTGAAAGACGTACAATGTTATTATACTTAATTAAATTGAATAATTTCCTTTTTTCAAAATTTTATTTATGTATGATGTGACATTAGTACTACATAATTAACTTGTGATAATGTTGATTAATTCATAAATCACAAATAATTAATAAATGTAAAATATCTGCGAAATATATTACATATTACATTAACATATAAAATATTTGATAATTTGATCCGAATAATAATATATTTTAAAAATTCAATTAGCGACATTAATTTAGATATTTTATGAAGAAAAAAAAGTTCAACTGTGGTCATTCAATTATAATTACATTGTCATGATTATAGTAATATTAATTAAATTATGTGTTTACAATTTTAAAATGTAAATAAAATGATTATATTATATATATATAAAAGATGAATTTACCTTTAAATTGATTATTGAATTTATATAATTTTTAGGTATGTAAATTGATTAATCTTTTCACAAATTAATACGGAGTAAATGATTAAAAAACAGCACTTTCTATTTAATTTGTACATCCAAAAAGAGTAAATATTAAACCTATATATTATTTTTAATTAAAGCTACAAATAAATGTTGCTACACTACAAGATATATGGCATGAAAGGGTTGGTATGGTTCACCTAACTTGAATTGCATTTTGTCCCATATCTAAAGAGTTCCATTAGTGTTATAAATAAACAACATTATCCATGTGAACAGTCTTCTTTTTGTTCTGCATAATGGATAAGGTGTGCTGTTTCTCTATTGGTTTTCATTTTCTCTTTTTCCATTTAGAATAGTTGAACACACACACACATTGAATACTATTGACTCTATTACAAGGTAGTATATGTTTTAGGAATAATGTTCAAATTGGCCACTGAACAAAAAAAAAAGTGCAATTAAGCTACTGAACACTTCAAATGTATGCAATTTCACATGATAGCAGGTTACCATCAATTTTAGCAGGTTATCTTCTTACGTGGCAGCTGCGTTGACATTTTTAATATTAATTTCTTTTTAAAAGAATTAAAAAAAAACGACGGGGTGGCCGGTTTATTTTTATTTTTTATTTAATTTTTTTTTTATTTTTTTAAAAAATTTATTATTAAAATTTATTTAAAATTATTTAAAATTTATTAAAAATGTCAACTCAGCTGCCACGTAAGCAGGTAACCTGCTAAAATTGATGGTAATAACCTGCTATTCGGTGAAATTGTATATATTTGGAATGTTCAGTGACTTAATTGTATTTTTTTTGTTCAGTGGTCTAATTGCATTTTCACGTTACGTTCAGTAGTCAATTTGAACATTATTCCTATGTTTTATACTTTCTTTAACTACTATAGTCCAAAGATCAGAGTCAATACCCACTACCGGGGTTCGATTCTGTGACCTTCTTCAAAAGGAGTTATAGAGATGTTATATGAGCACAATATGCTTGGCAATTGAACATATATATAGATGATATTAAACACACAATATATAAACATTATATTATTATATATAGAAATTTAAAGTAATTATTAAGTTGGATTTTTTTTTTTGGGGATGGGGGGTGGGGGTTACCCAGTAAAGCTGGTGCCTTCAACTATAGCTCACAGCACCGCTCCTCTTCAAAGCACAGGGCGTCACGGATCTCCAGCGGCGGCTCACGGAACTCCATCTACTCGTAGTGCCTCCTCGGTGCTTCTTTCGCCAACAAATCAGCCACCACATTCTTATTAAGTTGGATTTTTAGTTGTGAAAAAATATGCACGTGATTCAATATGATATCGGAACCAACCGAATGCAAAGTTCATGCAATCGTTATGCTATGGATCCGTGTCCAGCATGCATGCTGGACACGAGTAACAGTGCCGTTAGTGGCACTGTTATCTTCCACTTTTTTTTTTCTTTAATTTCAGACCGCTTCGTTATAGGAGTATATATTCATAATTTTATTACTATATGTTCAAAATTGTAAGTTCATAATGTCAGAGCTCTATGTTCATAATTCCATAACTGTACATTCATACTTCCATAACTGTACATTCATAATTCCGTAACTGTACATTCATAATTCAATAACTGTAACTTCATAATTTTCGAAGCTCTATGTTCATAATTTTAGAGCTCTATGTTCATAATTTTATCACTATATGTTCATATTGTAAGTTCATAATGTCAGAGCTCCGTGTTCATAATTCAATAACTGTACATTCATAATTGTATACTTGTACATTCATAATTTCGTAACTGTACATTCATAATTCAATAACTGTAAAATCATAATTTTTGAAGCTCCATGTTCACAATTTTAGAGCTCTATGTTCATAATTTTATCACTATATGTTCATAGTTGTAAGTTCATAATGTCAGAGCTCTGTGTTCATAATTTTATAACTTACATTCATAATTCCATAACTGTACATTCATAATTGCACAAACGAATAACGTCGTTAATGCCGTTAACGGCGAGACAAACTTTAAAACTGGAATGATGCGTTTTCCCTGAAAACGACATCGTTATGAACTCGTGTCGACAATGCATTGTGGACACGGGTTCAGGGCATAATTTGCGAAGTTCATGCTTTCCAACCAATTATTATAAGCTATGACTGGTCCCTCAAATTATTAGTTCTTGCATATATATATCCCAACCAATGAAATTAATATTTTTTAATATATATATATATATATATATATATATATATATATATATATATATATATATATATATATATAATCGCACTCAGGTGCGAATGCTTCGCCCATGAGCGAAATAGGAATTGATTCTGTCCGTTCACGTGTCCAGATCTAATGGATGAGAAACACTGATTTTTTAAAAAAAGCGCGGTGGCATTTTCGTAAAGAATTGAACATCGAAGTGCAAGTAAAATGTATTACAAGTGCATGTAAAATGTTTTA